GTATATTTCTGTCCCCCTCACCCTCAGCAATCTCCCAGTAAGGATCAGATTCCTGGAGAAGAAATCCTGGCCTTTTCGGAAGGGTTATGACATTTGTAGATAGCCAGGAAAATAGGTTGTGATTATTTTATCATTGTTTCCAGTTGGTATCATTCTCGATGTGTAATGTGTGTATGGGTGTTAGTAATTCCCTTGTATTTAACCACACAGCTTGATAAGTAGTTTGGAATTTAGTTTCTTATCTTCACCGTAATGCACCCACATGCTTGAGTATTTCAGCTCACATTGAATAATGATAAAAAATTCTGCAATTTGAACATTCCTATTTTGTAATTACATTTTGATTGTTGAGGCATTATCAAGGCATCCTGCAAGGCTCAACTAATGCAAACCTAATTCTCCTTTAATGCCAATCCCAGGAGGAATTTAACTTGAAAATAGTAAGATTTATTTTTGAGTCTGTAGATTATTTTAAATACTGTATTGTCAGAATATATGCACTGTATACCAGGGAGAACACGGATCATCAGAAAACTCTGCTTCCTCTTCCCTTCTGAAGGAACGTAGAAAAGCATGGAGCTCACAGTGGTTAGCTCTTTAGACTGGACAGAGATTATAACAAATCCAGGGAAACAAGTGTGTTGTGCAAAGCATACAACAGCCATCAAGTAGGATACATGAGAAAAGAAATACAACTGTGTCTTTTATATGATTATAAATATCTGTATGGCTAACACTTATTGAACTCCTGCTATATATAATTTTATTGACAGAAGAATCCTGTGATATAACTGCTTTTAATTATCCGCATTATAAAGACCAGGAAACTAAGCCAGAGAGATTAAGTAACATTTCAAATCTCAGTCAAAAGCGACAGAGCTGCTTCATGTTGGGCCTCCATGTATGCTTTGACATTATTTTACAGTGTGGTTCCTTGACCACAGCATCGACACATCAGAACTTGTAAGAAATGCATATTTTAGGCAGTATCAGAAATTCTGAGAATTGACTGCACTAGTCTGGTTTAACAAGCTCTCCTGGTGATTTTCAGTGTTCATAGAGGCAGCAGTCAAGAAGTCAAAAGATTTATTTTTGAGGCAAATCTCCTGGCCAAGGTCCATGTAAAGAGCACCAATGTCACTTGGAGGACTCAGTGAAGCTGATCCAAGCCATGGCGTTTTCATGCACTTCATATACATGTAACGGGTGGACAACGAATTAGGAAGCCTATAGATGAATTGATCCATTTGGAGTACAGTGTTGACAAAGAGTATTGACAGCCAGAAAAACAAAGATTTGTTTTTGGGTGAGTCCAACCAGAATGTTCCTTATACAGGAGGGTGACAAGACTTGATCTCAAGGATTTTGGATATGCTATGAAGAGGACCATCCCTGGAAAAAGACATCCTACTTGATGAAGTCGAGGGCCAGTGCAAAAGGGAAGATCCTTAACAAATGACGTGACACAGTGGCTGCAACATTGCACTCAAGTGTAACAATTGTGAAGATGGGGCAGGACCAGGTAGTGCTTCTGGGTATTATACATCGAATCGCTATGGGTTGGAGTCAATTTGACAGCACCTAACAAAAACAGCATCTGGTGATTCTGATGCACATGGAAGTCTGATATTTCACATCACTGCAAAGCTTGTTTTTGATTGAGGATTTTTTTTTTCATGCCAGACAGGTAATGTGACGAAGTCATAAAAAGGATTAAGGGAGGCAAATATCACACAAATGCGTGATGACGTAATCATCATACTTATGAACCGGAAAAGGATCTGATTGAGCCATATTTTAAGAAGTATCAAGTTTCTTTCTTCTTATTATTATTATTTTACTACATAGTACACATCTAAAGGGACAATAGTTATTTGCATAGCTGTAAATCAAAAGGTTGGCAGTTAGAACCTGCTAGCTATTCCATGGGAAAATGATGTCTCAGTATCCTTCTATAAAGAGCATAGAGTTAGAAACCATATGGGATGGTTCTACTCTATCCTACAAAATCACTAGGAATCAGAATGGACTGGATTTGTTCAATTATTACAAATTCATTTCCCGTTGTCAACCTATAAAGCAAACTATAACATTGAACTCACTCACTGCCGCTGAGTTAATTCCAACCCATGAAAACTCTATCTTCCAGGGAAGAACTGCCCCTGTGGGTGTCCGAAGCTGTAACTCTATGACACTAGAAAGCCTCATCTTTCGCCTGAGGAGTGACTGATGGTTTCAAACTGTGGATCTTGTGGGTATGAAGTTAGCAGCCCAACTTGTAATCACCCTGGCTCCTTAGCATACACCTGAAGTCTTGTTTATAAACTGCAATGCAGTTTTTGTTTTATTTCTTAAATTTTCTTACAGCAGCAAACATGTATCGTGCTATTACATTACAAGCATATATCACTCTGCTTCCTTAGTAAAAATCATTGCCACTTCCACCCCACTCTTCTGAGCTGCAATGTCTTTGTGTCCATGGTAATGATCCCTGTCTGCACAGTCTCTGGAGCACAAGCAATAGCGAGCTTTCATCTAGTCAGCTTCAGCTCTTGGGACCACCCCATGCGTCAGACTAGAACTGCTCTCCACAGTGTTTTCAACGACTCTGGTATTTCAGAAGCAGTTTGGCACAGCGTATTTCGGAGGTGCTTCTGGGTCTCCAATCATTAACCTCATCTAGCCAAAAGTATAAACATTTGCACCGCCCAGAGATTCTGGCACATACCAGGCAGTTAATAGTGATCAAATAAAATAATTTGTTAAAGTTTTGGATAAACTTAAATAGATATTTTAATTATGATTCTACATATATTTTTGAAAACAGGTTCTCAATATTTATTGATTATTTGGCTGATTTGTGCACATCAAGAATCTCGAATTCGACCTTGCAAGTCTGGCTGGACCAGAGGATGTACACAGGTACATATAGGAACTGGAAACACAGGGAATCCAGGGGAGATGATCCCTTCAGGACCAGTGTTGAGAGTGGCGAAAGGGTAAAGGGAGAATGGGTAGGGAAGAGGGAACTGATTACAAGGAACTATGTGACCTCCTCCCTGGGGGACAGACAACCGAAAAGTGGGTGAAGGGAGACATCGGACAGGTCAAGATATGACAAAATACCAATTTATAAACTATCAAGGGCTCATAAGGGAAGGGGGAGGGGGGGAGGGAGGGGAAAAATGAGGAACTAATGTCGGGGGTTTGAGTGGAGAGAAAATGTTTTGAGAATGATGTACAAATGCGCTTTACACAATTGATGTGTGTATGGATTGTGATAACAGGTGTATGAGCCCCTAATAAAATGTTAAAAAAAAAAAAAAGAATCTACCCAAGTCAAGTATCATCACGTTTTTAAAATGTGTCAATGACAAGAGCAGTGATTAATTCCCACAAATGGACCTTTAATGAACTATATACCCTGGGACAATATGTTTTCAAGTGAGTGGCACTACCTCATGAGGGAGTGTGAAAATGATCCAGGGGATCTGCAAAAGTGCATACCTAAAACACTTTATACTGGAATATGGGTGATAGTACAGATGTTGTTAAATGTCAGAGGACTCAGTACTTTTTGTTTTCCCCTAAAAAGGCAAATACCTGGGTCAACCTATGCTTCGGGATATTCATGCTCTGTGTCATTGTTGTGTGCTGCCCAGTCAACTCTCACTTAAAACAGCTATTTGTGACAGGGTAGAACTTCCTCATGAGCTTTCCTAGACTGTAATTGGCTAAGTGAAATTTCTTCACCTGACTCTCAGGCCTGTATCTTTGTAAGCCTGCCCACTAATGGATAGGTTCTGACCCATAGTGACCCTACGCACAACAGAACGAACGCTGCCTGGTCCTGCATCATCCTCTCCGTTGTTCCTATGCCTGAGCCATTGTTGCAGCCACTGTGTCAATCCATCTCTCGGAGGGCCTTCTTCTTTGTCTCTGCCCCCCTGCCCATTTTACTGAGCATGATGGCCTTCTCCAGGGACTGGTCTCTCCTGACAACATATCCGAAGAATGTAACACAAAGTCTTGCCATCCTTGCCTCTAAGGAACCCTCTGGCTGCATTTCTCCCACGACAGATTTTTGTTTGTCCTTTTAGCAGCTCGTGATTCTTTCAATACCCTTCCCCAGCAGGTTCAATTCAAATGCATCTATTCTTCTCCCAGCTTTCTTATTCAATGTCCAACTTATACGTTTATATGAGGCAATTGAAAATACCATGGCTTGAGTCAGGCACACTTAAGTCCTCAAACTCAAATCCTGGCTTTTCAATACTCTGTAGAGGTCTTGTGCAGCAGATTCACACAATGTAATACTTCTTTTGATCTCTTGACTGCTGTTTCCATGAGTATTGATTGTGAATCCAAGCAAGACAAAATCCTGGACAACTTCAACCTTTTCTCCATTTAGTGGAGATTGGGTGGGACTTTGCAAAGAGGGTAAAAAGAGGGTAAAAACACTAATAAAGGTGACTGATTTTTGTTGTCATGCTGGGGTCTATGAGGGCTATCCCAGAATCTAGAAGAGAGAGAGTTCAAAGGAGCCACAGCAAGCAGAGGAGAGGGGGCTGCACCACTGACCTGAGATGATGACACCGTGTAGTGGAGCTTCAGGGGGCCTTCCTGGCCTATAAGGTAGAAGTCACGGGACCACAGGACTGAGAAGCTGAGGAGTAGAGAGAGAAAGAGACTTGGCTGCTGACTGAAGAGAGGCACTGCTGTGGACCAATATCCTATTTACTAATACTATTGCGTGATAACCTAGTATCCATCCTAATAGACTCCAAAATTATGAGTTTTGTCTGTGAGTTTTATGTGGCCATTGTAATAAATGATCAAACCCAGTAGAAATGTAGAGTGTTATGGGAGGAATGGTTGGTGTCAGAATGGGGTCAAAGGAAAGTGGAGACTGGAAGCATATCTTGCTTCTGCCTTATAGCACATGGCTTTGAGTTAGTATGGGAATGAAAGATTCTCTTTCTCCTTTGGGTCAGGGTGGGGAGAAGGAGTCAGGTATAGCTTCCACTGAATTTTCCAAGTACCTTTATGGGAGGAAATCACCAGAACCTCTGTGGTGACTGGTGGGTTGAAACCACAGATCTTTCCGTTGGTGGCCCAAAGGCTTAATCATTGAGCCACCAAGGATTTTTGTTATATATAAAGAGATTGTGAATTTTGAAACTAGGTCACAAAATACCAGGCAGTGTCTGTTTTGGTCTTATGCCATGTGTGTTCAGAGGAATCAGCCACCATGTAAGCCACATGTAAGCCACCATGTGAGACCTCCCTTATCTGAGTAAGCCCTAAGTACTTAGCCACATGGAAAGAATGTATGGTTAGAGAAAAATATTCATCCGACCACCAGATGTTCCATTTCTTCCAGGTAAAGTACCCAACATGTTAGTAAGAAGCCCTTTTTTGGACATCCAATCCAGCTTAACCTTCAGATTACTCCAGTTGTATCTGCCATTTGACTCTAACTATTGAGACATCAAGCAAGAAGTACCAGTGTAAGCCCAGCTCTCCAACAGAACAAAGGGAAACAATTACACATGGATACGAAGATGCTAAGTCTGGGGAAAGTTTGTTATATAGAAATAGAAAGTAATAATTGGTTAGGGTTTAAGGTATCTTGTATGTTGAATTTATGATATGCTAGTTAAATATAATGCAATGAGTTAAGGGAGAAGGGTCAGGTCTATGTACATAATACATTTCCTCTCTCTAGTTTTAGCTATGTATTTGTGTCACTTAAATGTGGACTATAAGTGGTCTATTGTAAGTATAAAATGAAATTTGCATGGCAGGCAGTATTGTATCCTGCATATTTCAGTTGAGTTAGAAATTTCATTAACAACATGGAATATTTTTATGAGTGTCTATGAAAGAATAAACTTTTTATCCTGCTTAAAATTTTATAACTGGAGTTATACTGTACATTAAGTAGATCACTTCCGAATATAGCCAAAGGGGAGTGACAAAATGACTGGTACTGCCTCCATAAAGCTGTGAAGTCTTAGATCGTGTGAAGAAGCAAGCAGTTCTCCCTTGAGCAGTCTGCTCAGAGAGCAAGGTATGTATCGATTATACCTTTTACAGGGGGACTTTCCTGAGGACGCTTGGTAAACCCACATCGTGCACCACACCAAACACACTGCCATCAAGGCAATTTTGACTTACAGGATAGGGTGGAACTTCCCCTTCAGATTTCAAAGGCTAGAAATCCTTACCTCTTAGCAAGAGTTTTGCCTGGCTCCTACAGGGATGGTTTACTATGTGAAAGTCTTCAAGCATTGCTACTTCATCACTGTCATTTTACTACTGTTATGAATCAGGCGACCCCTGTGAAAGGGTCGTTCGACCCCCAAAGGAGTCACAACCCACAGGCTAAGAACAGCTGGTCTACAGGAAAGATGTTTACTTGTGTTTTATTGACTACAGCAAGGCATTGGACTCTGTAGATCATAATAAACTATGCATAACTTTAGAAATAATGGAGTTCTAAAACATCATAGTGAGCATGCGGAACTGACTCATGGATGAAGAGTCAGTTATGCCAAAAGAACAAAGGAATACTTCATGGTTTTAAATCAGAAAAGGTGTACTGCAGGTTGTATCCTCTCACCATACCAATTCAATCTGTATGTTTAGCAAATTATCAGAGAGGACGGATTATATGAAGAAGAATGTGGTATCATGATTAGAGGATGGCAAATTAATGACCCATGATATGCAGATGACACAACCTCACTTACTGAAAGTGAGGAGGGTTTGAAGAACT